AAGGAAGTAGTCCTCTTTTCTTTTTTTATTTTATTTTTATCTGTTGATTAGGGCCGGAGGAAAGTATTGTTGGGTTGGTTTCCTACCTGCGTTTTTCCCTCCCACCCACCCTTTGCATGCATTTCCGGATTGGTACAGTGCCACGTAAGCAGTGCCACGTCAGCAGTGCCACGTCAGACAGTGCCATGTCAGCAGTGCCATGTCAGACACAGTGCCACGTCAGACACAGTGCCACGTCAGCAGTGCCACGTCAGACACTGCCACGTCAGCAGTGCCACGTCAGACACAGTGCCACGTCAGACAGTGCCATGTAAGCAGTGCCACGTAAGCAGTGCCACGTCAGCAACATGATGGGCCTGCTGGGCCAACTGACCAATGAGCCCATTGCCGACTACAAAAAGCGCTTCCAGTCTCAGCTCGTTGCAATCGAGGCTGAGGAACAACGCCAACTGGCAGTCAAGGCTGCCCAGCTACAGGCTGAAGAAGCGGCAACAGTAGAGAAGCTGCGGCTACAGGCCGAAGCAGACGCAGATGCCCAGGCTCGCCGCAAGGAAGCCCAGGATCTGCTGCAGCGGCATGAAGCCACAAGTATCGAAAAACTCAAGTTTTGGCACTTTGAACCAAACGGCGACGACGGAACACCGGAAGAGCAGCATAAGGAGTTTCTCTCCAAACTCGTGACACGGTTGTTGTATGCTTGCAACTACCAACGGTCAGAGTTGGAGAAACAGTACCAGAACCTGACGCAACAACATCAGGAGTTGGCAAAGCTCCGCCATACAGTGCAGAGCCACCAGGATGCAACTCGGGCACTCAACGCCTGATTGCTGGACCTGGAACAGGCTGTACCAGGACCAGCTGCTGGGGCTTCCAGCAGTGCATCCTCTAGCCGCCAACTAGAGGAACGCGTTGACCACGTAGTGGAAATGCTCGGCGACATCAGCGCCTTCGCTGCGCCGACCACCATCAGCAGTCAGCTGCATACCTTGAAGACCGAGGTCCAGCAGTTGCAGTCGACGAACGTGGATGACAATCCGAAGATGTACAAGATGCCAACTTGCCAACTGGACAAGTTCGACGACTACACATAGCAGGATCTGGTCCTCTGGTAGGAGGCATCACGACGCAACTCAGGATTCTGCCTGTCGCCAAGCATGCGTACATCGGCGCCCTATTCCTGAACTCAAAGGGCGGATGCCAGACCTGGTTGAGCCACCTGGCAACCTCCCACGGCGTCGGCGTACCGCACTTGAAGGACAAAATCACATGGGAGGAACTTACACGGCTGTGGAAGAAGCGGTTCATCATCGACGACGCGCCGACACTCGCCATCAACCGTTTGTTCACCATGTCACAGGGCAACACTGCAACACGGGATTGGCTCATGGAGTGGCAGAAGATTGCGGCGGTGCCCAATCTAGAATTGGCATTTACGCATCTACGCCGTGAGTTCTACAACAGGTCCTGTGCGGCATTGAGCCAGGCTCTTGGTGATCGCGAGCAGTACTCAACCTTCGCTGAGATCATTGACAAGGCGAGGGAGATCATCAAGACCAACAGGTCAGCTGCACACGAGAAATCAACATGGCAGCCGACCTATGTGGAGAAGGATCAAATTGGTTCGCGATAGCAGTACTTCGCTGCAGTCCAATCGGACAGTGGAGATAACCCAGCAGCCACTCCAGAATCAAGTGACGGAGATCAGGTGGCTGCAGTCCCGCCGCGAAGCAACAACAAGTCCCGCAACAATGGGAAGGCGAAATCCACATCGAAGGCCGGAAATGGACAGCCAGTACAAGTTCCATGGGTCAAGTTCGGCTTGACCGAAGCGAAGTACAAGGTTCGCGGCCGCTACGGCAGCTGCTATTGGTGCAACAGCACCAAGCACAATACCTCCCTGTGCCAGGATCAGGGCAAGGAGGATGTGCGACCCCGCCTCAGCTCGGGAAACTGAGCTCCACGGAAGGTGAGGCGACTCCACCTTCTACTCAGCCTGATTCGGCCGCCTTGCTTGCGGCCTCCTGCACATCTGGGGAGAACGCGAATGTCGCAAGTTCTCGTTACACTTACGAGGACTATGCTGTCCACTTGGTTCCACTGCTGGACCAACCGCTCCACGTGCAACAATCTACCGCATGCACGGTTTCATCACCGTCGGCAACCGATTCGGCAGCTTCGCCGCCATCTATCGCCGGGGATTCATCGTCGTGGTCAAGACTTGAGGTGCTCGACCCACTGACGTTTACGGACTTCCAGTGGATGCCCGTTCCCCCGACCGGACGATTGCCGAAACCGCATTGCAATGTGCTCATGTCACAACTGCGAGATTACTTGCACACTGCAGGACCAGCTCCGTTGATGGACGCCGGAGTAGAGGTTGTCGACCTTCACGCTTACATTGCGAAGATCGACCGCGAGTTCAAGACGCAACGGTACGACGACATTGACGCACCATTGCTATATGTACGCATTCAGATCGGAGAGGCGACCTGCAACGCCTTGATCGATTGCGGAGCATCTCGCAACTACATCAGCCAAGACTTCATGGTGCGGAAGTCCCAGCCTACGCAAGTCACGTTGGCGGACGGTCACACGCACAAGTCCATCGACCGGTGCATTGACAACGTCCCAGTGTACTTTGCCCCTCACGCAAGTGAGGCGGTGTCCTTTGACATTCAGGACACCAAATTYGACATGATCTTGGGCATGTCATGGCTGCGAAGCGAGGATCCCCCGGTGAACTTCTTCCACCGCACCGTTCACATTCGTGATCGGAACGGAGTACTAGTTCCATGCACGGTGCCTCTTCCTCATCCTTCGATCAGCT